TTCCTTTAATATTAAATACTATATAAAGTTTCTCCTTTTTTCTCTATAATAAGTAAAGTTAGTTAATTATTATTAAAAAGATATAATCCTTTTATACTTTATAGTTTATTAAAATAATAAGTATTCTTTTTATAATCTTAATATTAATTATAATATTAATAAAGCTTTTAATTTTTATTACCTTTAAGATCTTTTAATTTAATATTTTATTATTTTATAGCTTTATTATAAATAATAATTATTATTTTTTACTTAATTAACTTATTCTTTAAGTTTATTATACTTATTATTATACTTAAGTACTTATTTTAAGAGTTTTTTAAGTATCTTAAGTATATTTATATATCTTAGGATATACTTTTAAAACTTCCTTAATTATTAACTAATTTTATTTTATTTCTTTAAAAATATCTTTCCTTCTTAAAAGTAATTTATAATTTATTCCTTTTTATTTATAAAGATAATTTCTTATTTCTTATTAGTTTTCTTATTTTTAATTAATAATATTATAATAGCTTATTCTTAATATTAATATTTATCCTCTTTTTAATATTATTATTATTTAAGGGATTTCTTTATATAGTTTTTATTATTATCTTCTTCCCTTATTAAGTTAAATATTAGTTATTTTATATATTAATAATTTAAGTATTTTTAATTTATATATTATTTAATATATCCCTTATAATTATAAGCTACTTAATCTTCTTAAGCTTTTTATTTATATTATAATTTAATTTTATCTTCCTTATAAATCTTATATTATTATTCTTAATATAGCTTAATTAATAGTTCTTTAAATTTATATTCTCTAAAGTATCTTTTTAGATCCTTCTTAAAGATAGAATATTAATTAATATTAAATAGCTTATTTATAAAGTAAAGTATTTATTTATTAATATACTTAAGGGGTATCTTTCTATTAAGCTAAAGGAATATATTATTCCTTATTTTTTATTATTAATAAATTATATAGAAGATATTATAATATATTATTTATAATTCTATATAGTAATTAGTTCTAAGGATACTCTTTTAATAGCTTAATAATTTAAAGAGGCTATTTAAGTATTAAATAATATTTATTATCTTTTATTTATAAATTATAAGTATTATTATAATAGTTAGATCTTATTATTTAATTTTTAGCTAATAATATATATATACTTCCTTATATTCTACTTATATTATATTCCTTACTTATAAGTAGTATTTTCTTTCTTTTAGTATATATTTAATAAACTTATTATAATATTAAAATACTAATTTATACTTAGTTAAAAGGCTATATTTTAAGTTAATCTTACCCTTTTTATACTTTTTTTTTATATTTTTAAAGACTTCTTTAATTTATTATTAGTTTTCTTTTATTATATTACTTTTTTATTATTCTTATTCTTTTAATATTTTAATAAAGATAAGTATAAATATTATAGAAAATTTAGAAATTATAATATTTATAAGTATTCTTTCCTAAGTTATTTATTAAATTATTCTTAAGGTTTAATTCTTAGTTTTTTTAATTATTCTTAACTATTTCTTACTTTCTTTAATAAGCTTTTAGTTATATTACTTTTTAGGTTTTAAGTATTAAGAGGATATATACTCTATTTCTCTATAATTATAGTATTTTCTTTTTTCTATAATCTTTAACTCTATAAGACCTAAGTATATCCTAAATTCTATAAATAGGAGTAAGGCTTATTATATTCTATAGTTAGGTTTATTATTAGCTTTTATATAGTTTTAATTACTTTATCCTCTTCTCTTTTACTATTTCCTTTTATAAATATAGTTATTAATTTATATTATATTAATTATATACTTAATTAAGTTATTTAGTTTATTTATCTTAAAGAGTTAGTCTTTAACTTTATTCTTAAGTTTATTATAGAATATAGATTTAAGTAGTTTATTATCTTAATTTAATTAAAATATAATCTCCTTAAACTTTATAATATACTCTAAAGTAGTATTAACTTATTATAAGTCTTTAAGTTCCTTTATAGCTTATTATTTATAGTTTACTTTACTAAAAGCCTCTATAAGTATAATAATAAAGTTTTTATAGTTAATAAAGATATTAATTATATTTTAGTCTTTACTATTTAGCTTAGCTTTATTATTATATTAGTTATAAAGGAATATCTAGAACTATTATTTTATAATATTAGTAAGATAAGTTTTATATATATAACTTTATCTTTATCTCTTTTAAGCTTAATAAGAAAGAATTTAAAATAGGATTAAAGTTAGATTTTAAACTTATTTAACTCTTAGGTATCTTTAGTAAATAGCTTTAGTAAGGTTAATTATACTATTTCCTTTTAGTCTTTTATTTATTTCTTTTTAAGTCTTTTAATATATACTAAGAGTTACTTAATTATCTACTAAGTAATTAATACTCTTAGAGTATTAATCTATTAAACTAAAGTTCTTAAGATAGCTATATTATCTTCTTTATTATTATATAGTAATTAAGATAAAGTAATTAGCTAAATAAGAGTTATTAATATATAATAGTTAATTAACTTATATTAAATAAAGTTTAAAGTAGATTAAGGTTAAATTAATTAAAGTATTATTCTAAGTAATATAATTAAGTTATTATAAGCTATATAATATAAATTATTATTAATATATAAGTATTATAAAGCTAATAGTAATAAATATATAGATAATTATATTAATAACTATTTAAGAGAGTATTTTTATCTAAGGAATAAATATATATATATAGTAGAAGCTTTATTAGTAAGTTTATAAGAGTCTTTACCTAGAACTTTACTTTAATAAAGTAAAGTTAGCTCCTATTAATTATTAAGGTAGTTTCTATTAATCTACCTTATATATAACTTCCTATAGCTTAATAAAGGCCTTTATTTATAATAGTTAGTTTTTTACTTTCTTTTTTAGTTTATTATAAAATACTATCTTAAAAGGCTTATTATCTTAATTTAATTAAGTTATAACCTTCTTAAACTTAATAATATACCTTAATATAAGTCCTACTTACTTAAAGTTCTTAAGATCTTTAATAACTTATTACTTTTTATTTACTATATTAAATATAAAGGTAATTATTATAATAAAGTTAATATAATTAATAAAGATATTAATAATTTCTTAATTTTTATTTTTTAACTTAGCTTTATTATTATATTAATCCTTTAAGTAAGCTTAAAATTATTATTTTATAATATTAATAAGATATATCTTTATATATTTAACTTATTCCTCTTTACTTTTAAGCTTTATTAAAAAGAACTTAAAGTATACTTAAAGCTAAAGTTTAAACCTTTCTAGCTCTTTAATATCTTTAAAGAAAGGTCTTAAAGAAGTTAATTAAATAACTTCTTTTTAATTCTTTACTTTCCCTTTCTTAAGCTATTTAATTTAAATTATAAGATTTTATATTATTTTTTAAATAATAAATCTTATTAAAGTATTATTAATAAATATAATAAAAGTTATAATATCTTCTTTATTATTATATAATAATTAAGATAAGTTAATTAATTAAATAAAAGTTATTAATATATAATAATTAATTAATTTATATTAAATAAGGTCTAAAATAAATTAAAGTAAAACTTATTAAAGTATTATTTTAAGTAATATAATTAGGTTATTTAAGTATTATATAAGTTATTATTAATATATAAGTATTAAGAAGTTAGTTTTAATAAAAGTAATAATAATTATATTAATAATTATTTAAAAAAGTATTTTTATTTAAGAAATAAATATATATATATATTAAAATACTTAATATTTATATATAGTAATTAGTACTAAATATAATATACTTAATTATAATTACTTAATATTTAATCTTAAGTATTATTTCTTATTATTTAAGTATATTATATAATATAGGTATAAAGCAGCTTATAACTAAAGTATAATATTATAAATTATATTTAAAAAAAAACTATATATAATAATTATATATATAGCTTAATCTTAGAACTAAATAACCCTTATTTATAGTAAGAAAAATAAATAATAAATAATATTAATAATTATCTAAAAAAGTATTTCTATTTAATAAAAATAAGTATATATATATAAAGTAATTTAAAGTATATAAAGTATATTACTTTATATAATCTTATTATTATAAATATTAAGAATATACTAAAGTATATTACTTTAGTATACTTTAACTATAATTAATAAATCTATATATAATCTATATAGCTTATTATAGAGGCCTTTATTTATAATAAATATAATACTATAAGTAGCTTTATTTTATATAATACTACCTCCTTAGAATATAAGAATAGTATAATATAAGATATTAGTAGTAAGAGTTTATAGCGCTTTAACTATAAAGCTAGTATAATCTGCTATATAGTTAGCAATAGTATTATAATTTATATTAGGACTGTGCCGGCTGCATTAGCCCAATTGACCCGCACAGACTGCCTTGTCTCGCAATCTCCCTATCAGCGGTAAAATTAGGTAAGGAAGGCAAATCATCCATTTATGCCACCCAGCTCCGCATGGATACGTAGGAGGCGAATGCGGCACAGTAAGGCGAATGCGGCACAGTAAGGCGTCCGGCGTCTGCCTTACGCCCCATACTAAATATTAAAGACTTTGGACGGGGCCCATAATTGAGTCAAGCATATATAACTCGGCCTCGGCACATGAGAAGGGCCGCATTGTTGTTTTCAACTCAAACCGACTTTATGAACAACATCACGATGACGAGACTCCAGCGTTGGCAATCCGTTGTTCTGCAAGCCACTGCACTCGCAGCGTTTGGGTTTGTTATCAATCACGAAATCAACCGCCGTCACAGCCAAGATGAAAGCCTCTGGAATGACCCAGTGCTGAAGAATTATACGTCCACGTTTCAATGGTCGATGAATTCGACCAACTCAACATCCCACCCTTCTATGCCACATAACGGCACGCTTACCAACAGGCTCATCAATGGTCCAGCCAGCTCCAATTCCACAAAGAGCCAAGAACAGCCAAGCTTCTATATGGTGACTTTGCCACAAAACATCATCACGCAGGTGATAATTGTGTTTCTCTCATACTACTGGCACCTTGCGCTTGAACGTCTATTACCTGCGCGATCAGCTGGGGTTGAGATGCAAAGCGAGAAAGAGTCCATCGACGAAGATGAAGGCCGAGAAGAGGAAATAGTGAGAAGATGGATTCTCAAAGGTCGGGTTCAGCGCTCATCCATTAGTTGGCTAAATACGTTCCTAAAATGGGCAATCGACATGACTCTAGGAATCATTTGGACATCAATTGTGTATGAGGTACTATACGGATTTGTCTTTGGAAGATTCCCGAAAGGAGATATTTCCCATTTTTTACGGGTGAGTTCCCATATGCGTCCGCATATAGATGAAATTAAACCTTTGAAGCAACGCTAATAGAAGCTCGAGCTTTCTAGAACATTGTTTTGACTTCACTAGTACTGATGTTCAGTCTCCGCCCCTTGACTTCACTGATCGGTTTTATTATAATACCAGCACCACGGCGTCCAGTGTTCTTGGCTGGTGTGTCGGCGCTAGCAAGCATATTTCTCACTGCATCCACGATGATTGTGCTTAGGGGAATTGTGAAAAGCAACTTTGTCCAGAAAGCTCTGATGGATATTACAGAACGTGTCTGGATAGAAGCCCAACGGAAGGGGGCAACGCCGGCTCGCTTGGTGGATGAGCTGTGAAAGGAGTGGGCCCAAACTGGTATTTATATTCCGTCGAATAAGTAGCCTTCTTGATGCTAGTGTGAGATTGGGTTGGAGATTGAAGTTGTTGCTATGATTAGGATCCAGACCATTCGAATTTATGATGAAGTTTATGGAAGTTAAGCTTGCTGATTCGATATCGGAATCATTATGTGTATTACATGTCGGTCTCAGGTTGATCAAATATCTCTCGTTGTTTGTAGCGCTTCCTTCTCTGAGATACATCTTACTTCGATGAACAGCCTCGTGAACCCCAATTCTCGGCTGAACCACGCCTGCACATCCCTCCAGTTCTGGGTATACCAGTCCGATGGAAGTTTAGAAACTTAGTTTAGGAGCAAAGGCCAGCTGTAGAAACAAGCTGCCATAATTTGTACATGCTTTCGTGGAAGCCGCAGCATTAGCTTAACCTTTGAATCCGTAGAGCGGCATGCGTCCTTGGAATCACGCGGAGACGGAACAATATAAATCCTACGACGGCGAAAGTAAAGAAATCCACACAATGGCGTCACTCACGGCCGGGCATGAAATCTTGCATCCGCACAACACACATCTGCCCCCCACATCGACCTGACGTGCAAGTTGCTTGATAAAGCACCCGACTTGATCATTATCAGACACGTCATCAGCTCGAGTTTACTCATTTTCCATCTTTGTTCTTAATTTCATTTCTGATTTTTAAATTTCTACTCCCGTTCAGCTAGCCATGGATTCTGGCAATCAGCGAAGCAAGGAGCCCGACTCCGAACAAGGCAAGCAGAGGCGGCCGGTAGTCAGGCATGCTCGCAGCTCTACACGAGTGCTAAAAGAGTGGTATGCTGCTCACTCTTCATGGCCTTACCCGACAGATCAAGAGAAGGAAGCACTGAGTGAACGAACTGGGTTGACAATCCGCCAAGTGTCGTATTGGTTCGTCAATGCTAGGCGGAGAAATGGTGACAAGTTATCATCGAGTGCCCCGGCAACTACCAATAGCTTATTGGACTTACTATCTACCGGCCCTCTTTCGACACAAGACCAAGATTGGAGCAACATGGGTCCACTCGAGCGTTGGCGCAATTCACCTCCAGAGCAGGAACCCGCTCCATTGCATGCGATTTCAGACTCAGTGCAAAGGGGCCTTGACGCTTCCTCGATAACCACAGACCATCTAGAGTACTCCTTCGAGAAGCCTGCCTCAAATTGGTCACATCCTAGCTCTGCCAGCTCTTTAAATTTCTCAACGTCGGAAGGGTCCAGCGACTCTTCCGTATGTTCTTACAGATCTGATTCCATCTTGAATCTCCCGAACCAGAGAAATCTACAATCAAGATGGAAACGATCGCGCAAGGCGGTATCGAGGCGCTCTACAAAGAGCCGGTGCATTAAAGAGACTAGAGATGACGGTGAACGATTATATCAATGCACCTTCTGCACTGACACTTTCAAATCGAGATATGACTGGACTAGACATGAAGAATCACTTCATCTGGCCCTAGAAAGGTGGACATGCCTTCCTTCTGGACCGATAAATATCAACTCGGAAGCACAAACGGAATGTGCACTTTGCGACGTTCGAAATCCAGACGACGCGCATTTACAATCTCATCAAGTTTTTAAATGTACTGGGAAACCTTTATACGCTCGAAGCTTTCGCAGAAAAGACCATTTGCGTCAGCATCTTCGCCTTGTTCATGGCGTCCAAGAGATGACGGCATCGATGAGCAGCTGGAAATCCGCGGTTTCTGAGGTCAAATCACGATGCGGATTCTGTGGGGAGACCTTCTCGTTATGGTCAGATCGGAATGATCATCTAAGTGACCACTTCAAAGCAGGTCTTCTTATGAAAGACTGGAAAGGTTGCCGTGGCCTAGAGCCAGCAGTTGCTTTGCTTGTCGAGAACGCAATACCCCCATACCTGATCGGCACAGAGGCACTAGATTCGGACCCTTTCAGTGCCTCGAAAGGTAATACAAAGGGTTGCCTGGCAGCTGGAGGCGGTTCACGAGCCCCAACTGCATTTGGAGCCCTCACAGCCGACTTGGGTGACTACGTTCGTACTGCAAAATTAGCCGGCAATGATATCACGGATGATGCTCTGCGTCATCAAGCACGGCTGATCCTCTACGGGGATGATGATCCCTGGAACCAAACCCCTGCGGACAACAATCAGTGGATCGAAATGTTCAAGGCTGGCTACGGGCTTGATTGCGACACTTTCCAACAACAGGCGATGGTCGACTGTGCTACTAATGCACACTCAGCACCTGCTGATCCCATGATATCACCGTGCGTTTTGAATACAAAGAGCGTTAGTCCATTCACAGCCGAAGCAGTTCAGCACGCCGTCGATTTTGACCCGGCCATGATGCAATTTGAGCTCAACTTTCCTGCAGGGTCAGGCGATGACCACGTCGCTGCGGTCGAGCCGGCCTTCACCATCCCTTGGTCCTGGCAGACACCTGAATGCTTAGCTGAGTTTCGACAGCTCGGGCTATTGCCTCCAATACCAGTAGCATGTGATCCCATGCTTAGTGAAACGGGCAACCTAGCCGCCGGCTGCTTACACACTGAGCCTGCTACGAGTGCCACAACTTGCGGTAATAGCCTACCGATGCCAGAACAAGTATTTCTCACGCCCCAAAACCTGATGTTTGCGGCTCCAGCACAAGCCAGCAGCTCGGGAATAAGAGAACACCCTACAGAATGCCCAGAGGATGACACACTATTCACCTTTGATGCAGAGTTAGCTCCTGAGTGGCTGGGAAGTTGGCAACTATCATGAGTCCAAGTTTATTTTAGGTTCCAGGATGAGGTGTTTAGATAGGAGCGTGAGGGATAACGGCCTGTACCACATATAGGGAAAGATGAAAGGTCTCAGCTAGCTAGTGTAGGCTTGAATATGAAGATGCCTTTTTTGAAGAGAGATGAGACGGCATTCGCGGAGTAGGTGAAGAAGTAGTTTTTAGAGAGGCCCAAATAGGTGGCTGCTATCAAGACGTCTGGCACCTTGATCGTTCTATTCACACTCTACAAGCTGGTCCAGAAGTATCTTATTAACTGCACCTCTACCATGTTCGAGCATCCAAGCATACAATGCAATTTACGTTGTTTCCCACAAATAGTGTCGGGAAGTGGTTCAAGGTTGCCACGGAAGGAATCCCGGTGGTTGACTTGACAAACCTAGCCTTCAGCTAACTTGATGTAAGCTTCTTTTGACGACTGCTAGTCTGGCCTTTGGATGGCGGCCGGCAAACTGCCTTGCGTGCTCTGGTTTGTATATCCAAGAGAAGCAATCCGGCAGATCTTCACTGGGTCTCATCCCTCCCTGACCCACCCGGTGTCACAGGTGTCACAGAACGCCCTACGGAGACGCCCTGTTTAACCGCGTGATCAATTTTTATGCCGAATTGATACAAGCTTCTACACTCCAGTACCATCGCCCACTTGGATTTGTCACAATTTTGCCGCTTGGGGGCTCGGTTTCTTGGGTATTTTATGAGATGAGGCTTATACGGCAAGTTTGATAAGTACATGCAGCAGGCAATACGCTTCGCTTAACCAGCTTAACCAGCTTATAAGATATTCGAGATCTTTAGGAAGCGGTATTGGGCAACTTATCCGCAGAAAAATGAGGGATTTTATGATTATAAGCACCGTGAATCCGTGGGATACTAACATGCACCAGCAAGCATGAACCTCGTGCACGAAGCTTGAAATCTTGGCAATGATGTGATTAATATTAACTAAATATCAGCCCAGCCTCCTGATGAATGTTTCCATGACTATCTGCTTGATCTATTCGTTGTACCTTAGAACTTTGCACGAAACATAAGAAACTTTACCCTTGTTCCCCCTCATTGGTATTGGCAGGAAATTGCCACGGTAATTTGGACCAAACGCTGACCAGATCCGTTCCCTTACCATTCTCGTAAGACACTGGGGGCTTGAAGTAAACCAGCCTTCGAAACGGGCCCTCTTGGTCAGCGTCTTCCTCACAAGGCCTATCGATGATGCCGTCTCCTCCCACCGCCAGCAGGTTCCAATAAACACCTTTCAAGCCCCATGGAGGTCCAGGCAGAGCCAGATCTTTGTAGAGGGGAAACTCCAAACAGATCAACACTCCGTCCGGTGACAGGAGCTCGTGCATTCGACGGGCCCATGCCTGGCGCAAGGAGGGATGCAGCGCACACAAGAACTATCACAAGGTTAGTCATCTAGCTTCCGTTACTTGCTTACAACTAAGATCAATAAGTACGAACTGTGTAGTCATAAATGAGATCGAACACCCCAACCTCCCGAGGCTCCTGGAAGAAATCTCCTACGACGATGGTCACGTCTTCAACATCGCCCGTCTGCCACGTGTCCAAGTTATGATAATTGTAATCGCATGGCTCTGCCAGCTCCGATGCTGCGTATTGCCGTGCCGTCACAGCTCCCTTCTTGGAGATTTCAAGACCATAGGCGTCGAAACCATGCAGGGCTAAGGCTACAACATCGTAGCCTTTGCCGCAACCCTACAAGTACGAGATGTATCATGAGTGCGCCAAATTCTAGCAGAAACGGAGTATCGAAGAGACTGGGTTTGATACGTACAGGAATGAGGGCTTTCGGTCGGTGTTTTTTTAACTATGTTGGAAAGAACCTCGGGCTTGGACTCGATGAATTCGATGAGGGCAGAGGAGGGCTTGCCACGATCCCACAGGTCGGACTGATCCGTCTCCCATAGTTCCGTCCATCCAGATAACTGTTGCTTGCTGTCTCTGTGGCATCTGTTAGCTGCAGACGATTCGTCGAGGCAAACCTGCATCCTCCGAACCTATTACGAAAATGCGAGATCAGACGCCCTGGCTGGTCTGACTCAGGAGCCGACATTTTGACCCCTCAACTTGGATATATTATCGAATGAGAATAGCTTTGGCCGCACAACCCTGATTGTGACGTAATCGCGTCTTTGATCGAACAGCCAGCTTTTGTCTTGTTGCTCTCCCCCAATGGATTTTGTACGTGCCGAGGCGGTCTCTTTATACCTCCAAGTTATGCAGCTTCAAGGCTCTTGGGCAAATGCCATCCACCGCCCTACAAGTGAGGGGCGCAGTCGTAATACTCGAACAAGACCCAATTAAGATCAAGGCCGCTGAGGTGTCATTCAACGCCCTAAACCGTTCCCACTGAAAATAGCCACATGCGTCATTCTTATCGTGTTTTCTTGGAGTTGGCTGTTTCTCAGAGTTTTGATACAATACAATACAATTTATTGTGTTTTATGAGACTCCCACCCAGATTATAAATACCGATTTTGGAACTGTTGAATCACAGGTCTGACAGTTGCGTGGATGGGCTACTATAACACGACCTTGGGGGTGTCACTTAAGTCTGTTGTGTATGAAACGTGGAAGGTGTCTTTGCAGCTAATTACTAAAGAAACGTACATTCGGTTATTTGCATGAAATGAAAGGACAAGATAAATAAATTTGCACTTTGGCTGTGGGAGATACGAGCCAGGTCAGACACGACACAACTAATCAATTAATCCCCTGAAGAGACTTACGCATCCAACTGGAACTATCATTGCCTAAAATTGTTTAAAATAATGTCACAAGTATGACCTGTCTTTGCCTATAGTATTACCCTGCATGCAGCGCACTGCATAAGCAAAACTGTACCAATTATCTAACCAAACCACGGTTTAGCATGGCTGAACATGCTGGCAAGTGATTGTTGAGGAGGGGCCGAGGAGTGGAGGTGGCTCGTGTCTCTACTTTGAGACGAGCTTTTTCGACTGATCAGCTGCTTCGACTGCAACTCGAAAATCTTCAATCAGCGTAGACATATGCTCAAGCCCGACTGAAATTCTGATCTGCGTTGGCTTCAGACCGAATTGAGCGGCCCAGTCCAGTCTCTTTTGATAAGCGCATAGCGTATATGCGAATGCCAAAGTGAAGGGGGCACCCAGATGCACACTTTTATGTACGTTGAGGTTGTCATAAAAGACCTTCGCCGTGTCTATGTCATCTAGCTCGACACTAAAGACACAGCCATATCCGGGGGAGAAGTCAGGCGTTTCAGGACGCATGAAGCGTCTGTAATTGTCTCCGGAGGGATTGACTGAAGGGTAGTGAACTCGATGGACGGCACTGTTTGGGTCTCGGGCTCGAGAATGTAGATATTCTACCACGGCACTGGCGTTGCTGTTTAGCTTTGCTGAACGATCAAGATAGTCACGGCTATTTCGCTCAATGGCCTCTGCGTCGTCAATGTAAAAGTCCGACACATAACGAGCATCAAAAAGAGGTTTGAGCTCATTGTATTTGGGAGAGGATGGATTGAGAATAGTCGTTCCTCCGATTACGTCGGCGTAACCATTAAAAGACTTGGTGATGGATGTTACTAGGATATCGGCCATTCCGATCACATCAATGTTCGCCCAGCTCCCAATCGTGTCGTCTATGCCGAGGACGACGTCGTACTCCGTCGCTAATCTACGAAGCTGAGCAATGTCTGGACAATGAAGCAACGGATTGGCTGGGAACTCTACCCAAATAGCTTGCACCTTTTGGCCCTTAGCCCGACTATCTCGAAGATAGGATTCCAATTCGAGAATGTTTTCATCCGAAGCCGCGCCGAAGAACTTGCTTCCAGGGCCTACCTGCTCTAGTGTTGTCACAGTGTCCATAAAGGCCATTCCAAAGAGAACAGATGCGCCTGGGCAATCGTCAAGCAGGTATGAATGAGGCTTGAAGATAGACGCCATGCCGGACTGGTACAGATAAATGTCGTTGGTCGTCACCATCAAGGGTGGATTGGTAGATAACGGCGCCCTCTTTAGGAGAGATAGAATCCTTTCCCGCAGAGTTTCGTGCGCAGTGCTGTCAAAATTGGCTCTGTCTGCTTCGGCTTCCTGGATGGAGACCTCTCTGAGCTTGTCTAGATGAGCCAAGTTGGCCTCGGCAAACCGAGAGGTGACACCGGCACCAACGGTGCTCCAGAACCCAGCAACAACGCGATATTTGTCGGATGGGAAAATGACGGCCAGAAAATGGTCCTTGGCAGCAAAAGCACGAATCACGAGCTCATCCGCTTCAAGTGGCTTGTTGTCAATACCATCATCGCGCTTGCTCGAAGTAGCATATTCAACGCATTGCTTGGCGGATTGGAGCGATGGAAAGAGGAGACATGCTTTGCCTGTAGAGCCAACATGTTTTAGCACAGCCTCTGAAAGCTAATCAAATCAATTTGCGTTAGTCCAAGTCTCTCGAGGGATGACCATGTCGTTTGGTTTACCTGAGCAATATCGCGGTGTGGTCTTGTTCGAGGGTATGTATTCTTGAACTTGGCAATGACCGATGGAGCATCAGCCCCAAATTGTACGGCGATGGCCCATTCCGATCCCATATGGACTGTGACAGCATGGCGAGGGGCTGGTGGCACTGCTTGACCAAACTCGGTAGTAATTCTGGTGGACATGATGAGTTGGCGCGATGGAGGAGATAACTGTAAGCTTTATCGAGGATATGCGGGCAAAAAAAGCACACGAGCAATGATTATAAAATGCTTGGAATGAGATAAGTAATGACATGATAATGGTCGTCGGAGGGAGACGTCGGCTTTTAGCTTTCCCCCAATGTGGCTGTGGAGCTCATGTGCCATTCAACGCCCTACAAATAAAATAATAAATACGAAAATACAAAAAGGGCGTTGGATGACACTTGACTTTCCATTGACCAATCAGAATGTGGCACAGTTTAGCGACGTGACCTATTTATCAGGAATGTTTGCTTCACTGAACACAGTTCCATGCCTTTGAGAACTTGTACAACACAACCTTCGCTAGTAGATCGATCTCATCAGACGAGATTGCTAGCCACTATGAATCTGCCGAGCAACGATAAGGCTTCAGCAACGCACGAGATGCTGTCGCGCCCTCACGCTTCCTCGGATGCTTCCCCTAGGCCAAGGCGAGAAACCGAGGAAGTCCAGGAAAAGGTTTACCCGTCCGGGCTCAAGTTTGCAGCCATTATGGTCGCTGTTTGTCTATCTTTTATGCTAGTAGGCCTGGTAAGTTGGAAGTGGATGGAACACTTGTTATGAGTTACCCTGACAGGAATCATTCAGGACAGCAACATCATCGCAACAGCCGTCCCAGCAATGACTAGCTATTTTGGCACTATCAATGACATTGCGTGGTATAATTCTATATAGTAAGAGATCCTGTAGCCGGAATAATCGTCATGTCGTCGCTGACCTACGCATCTACATCAGTCGGCTGATGTCAGGCTCGTTTCAACTCATGTTCGGAAAGCTTTATACCATGCTTCCAGCAAGAATATTGATCCTAGTGAATCTCGCCATATTTGCTGCGGGTACTCTGCTGTGCGCCCTTGCACCGAGCTCGTCGATATTCATCTTGGGACGAGCCATCACCGGCTTCGCTACCGCTGCCGTCATCTCAGGAGCGTTTGCGTGAGTCCCACATTTATCTTGTAAAGAAAATGGCGAAGTCTGCTGACTTGAAGATAAGCATGGTCATACATATCTCGCCGTTGCGGAAGCGATCAACATACGCCGGAATGGGCGCCGCAACAGAGGCCGTGGCATCCCTCACGGCTCCTCTCTTTGGTGGTCTGCTAACCGACCAATTGAGCTGGCGATGGTGTTTCTATATTCAATTGCCGCTAATCGTTGGTATATTCTTCATTGTGCTTTTCTTTATTGACTTAACCGCGGGAAAACCTATGGCCGATCAGGACTTCCTGTCAGTCCTGCGCAAGCTGGACGTATTGGGAACGGCCCTATTTGTGCCGACTATTACACTACTAGTTCTGGCACTGCAATGGGGAGGTAGTAAATACGATTGGTCGGACTGGCGCGTTATATTGCCGTTATGCATTTCCGCCGCTTTGCTTATGGTCTTTATCCGGCACCAAAGTCGTTTTGGAGAACAGGCCACTGTTCCATTTCGTGTCTTGCGAAGAAGAAGCGTTCTTTTCGGCTTCTTGTTCAGTTTCTACAATAACGGATCATTGAGCGTCATTGAATACTATGTACGAGTTTCCCTCAAGGGCCGTCAACGCACCCGCATCAACTAACCCAATCCCAGATGCCCAGCTACTTCCAGACCGTCAAAGGATTTTCAGTGTCCATGTCGGGTGTAATGGTTCTTCCTACGGCAGCAGGCCTGGTGGTCTCAGTTCCTCTTGCAGGGTATCTGACAACCTTGGTCGGATATTATAGCCCATTCATGCTTCTAAACAGTATCATAACGCCCCCTGCGACTGGGCTGCTTACCACCTTGGATGCTGGATCAAAGCTTTGGCGCTTAATTTCCTATCAAGCTTTGCTGGGATTTGGGACAGGTATCGGTTTCCAAGGTCCTCAAGTTGCCGTTCAGGCCACCTTTTCCGACTTTGATTCTCAGATTGCCATCGCTATCATCCAACTCGCCCAGGCCATTGGTCCAGCCATAGCTGTGGCCGGGGCGCAGACCATTTTCACGTCCAAATTAAACTCTTACCTCGCCCGGTTTGCTTCGAACCTAAATCTAGCTGACTTGAACCGCTACGGTCTTACTGTCCCTGACTGGTTGAACCCTTCTGAGCGCGAAATAGTGGTATCAGCCTACAGCTATGCTCTTAACAATGCATTCTATCTTCCACTTGCCCTAGCTTGTATGACCATTATCGGTGCTCTCTGCGTTGAATGGAAGTCCATAAAAGGCGCTGAAGAGAAAAGATCCTAGGATATTGTACTAGAATCAAAACTTTTAGAGAAGATCCAAGAGCAAGGAGCGAATACCTAGCTTGAATCATTTGGAATTTTAGATTCATTCAACACGACCAATAACTCACAGAATATTGATGGTAAAATTCTGACATCACTGTAATGTTCTGACAGCACCGAGCACCGAGCACCAGGTCAAGGAAATATTGTTTCGTTATTCTTGAACATTGGGTGCTATCTATAAGACATCGGGATTGTTCGGCGCTGTAATATTGCACATACAAATTTAGTTGAACTATCTCGAACGCCTCCATTAATACAATAAACACACTCCTTGATACTTTGTAATCTTGTTTTAGACGTTAGTTGCGAGAAACGCTAGGGAAGGGACAGGGAATAGAATCTTACCCGCGCCTAATGGGCAAGTAATTCCAGGGGCCACTGGGTCTTCAGAAGTTCCTCCTCACCTTATTTCTCAATACACCTGGTGAGTTCCGATTGGTGGATTTGCGTGGCTCATCCTTGACGCTGACATCTAGATTAAGTGCAAATTAAACAGTGACAGCTTGCCCTACGGGTTACGCTGGTCGCAAATCCCTCCCTTCCACCAAGCAAATGGTTCATGATGCTTCCTAGGAAGTCGGTTGCAATTTCATTTCTTCATTGGTATGACACCTCATAATGAAGCCAGCGGTGCGGCCTGGAGGTAGTATTAGGCATCCATGCGGTTCATTCTGCTCTTAAGAAGACAGCCGCCCATACTCTGGGGCTGATTACTTCGGGCTGAAAAATTATCAGCCCATTCTGATGCAGCCAATGAGAAAATCGTCTGAGAGATCTACATTCAGACGAAGCACGAGCGATAAATTTTGACTCCTTGTTGCCACGACGCTGAAAGCCCTGTTATTTCCCCCCCAAAAAAGGCAATTTATGCTCAATGTTAGATACAGAGGGTTCTTTATGGGACTGAACGATAATCCACACACAGCAAGTATCCTAAGATGCATAGCAGGAGCTGGAACTGTATGCCAAGGCCTTCTCACAAGCGCCGTAGGATTTTCAGCCTGGATACGCAAACCCAATGAACATCACTTCCCTCGAATGTAAGCAAACACAGTTCCGACCCCCTTGCCAATTTAATTTGTGTCAGAATCCTTATTGGCCTGGTCGGACTTGGGGGCGGGGCAACGGCTAAGCGAATCCTACCAAACAAGCAGAAGCTGAGGACAAGAATAAGAAGAGGGAACCAAGAAGCGCGTGCCGCCAGATCTCGAGACTCCCAAGAGCTCGAAGGTCTTGGGCGGAGAAAACGCCACGATGGCACGATACGGGTCTGTTAGCTGGGGCTTCATTGTCTCATGTCTGCTACTTGCCGTACGTGCAGCCTCTTCAGAAGATGTTGATACAAAATTCATGGGCTACTTCATCAACGGCCTCACTAGTAAGATTTGCCGTTATTTTGTGTGGGATTAGCTGACATTATATCGGGTAGCTGAGAAGTTGATGGCCCCTTCTTCCTTCGATGTATGGTCAACGACAGGAACCGTCGCGGGCGGATGCGAAACGGCTAAGCCAACGTGCGAGATCAATATCGGATGTCAAGATGGAACCCTGACAAGAACTGACAATGTCAAAACTTTTTGGTGAGTCCCTCCCAGGCTCCGGACGTTGATTCTGACCTATATTTTGTTCTGAGAGCTCGATCCAATATTGACACTTTCACAGCACAGGATCGCAGGTCTGCCAGACCATGACAATTTATCAGAATTCTCCTTCCGGCGGACCGACAATAAAACATTTCTTTTGCGCAAATGTGTGGCCGGCGAAGACGGTATATCGTGACCTACGCCAGGTAGCGACAACTACAACTTCTTCCGAATTGGCTCCGTTAGCATCCTTTTCGGCTTCGTCGTCTTCCTTTTCGGGTCCGACGAATTCTTTACTAAACATAGAGACGTCGACGCGGGCGATCACGACACAGACGACGTCCACACAAACGAGTACCACAAGCTCAGTGCTCACGGAAAGTGCGGATGCATCCGGCTCTTCATCGAAGTCCACAGTCGACCAGAAGGCATGGATCGCCGGCCCTGTCCTCGGCGGCCTCATCATTCTCGCCCTTTTTGCGGGTGGTATGTTCTGGTGGGGCAGAAGGTCCCGAGGAGGTGACGAACGCGAAGCAGACAACACCAAGAATTTCCAGCCCATTCCTGATGAGAGTAAATTCGGGTATCAGCATCAGTCGTCGTATGGCGAAATGCCTATCCCCATGACGTGCCAACCTCAGTCTCATGTTAGTGAAATGTGGTCTTCTAGGTCACCAACGGAGCTAGGAACGAACTCGGCGATACATCAGCCAAAACCGCAACCTCCCACACAAATCCAAGAGCTGCCAGCTTCTTATTATCGGTAATAAAGAATGATTTTTGCAGGGATAATTATAAACAAGTTTATTGATTCCACAGGTTCATTAGCAATTACCTCGCTGTTGTTATTGATTTCAAGTTGCTCTTTATATGTGTTCATGAAGTGACCTACCAGGAACAACATAAGTTGTCGGAATTGGGCCATCGTTGGTAACATAGGGTATTAATGTTTATCCCCTTCCAACCGCCCAGCCAGATATCGACGGCAGATTTGGGGCGGCCTTTGAAACCTGTTATCACTTTCCCATATGGGTAACTTGAAGATGAAACCTCATGTTGTGTCCTGGGGTCGTGTTGTTTCGGGAAAGAAGTCTCTTCAGCAGCAAAGACCACGACAGGATCCTACTTCAAAATCCCTCTCAGTTCTGTCATAGAAATCGGTCGTTAGCTCAATCCTAGGGATACTCCTCAGGAATTGACTCGTGCCAGCATAGAAAAATGTGCATATGCATATATGGAGTCATAGAACATTGTTCGATAAGATCAGTGCTGGAAAGAAGATCGTAGGATCCAGAGCACGGTATAGGGTATCTGATTTAGAGCAATATTTAACTCGCGATTATCATCGCTGTATATGCAAAATACTCGTGAGCTCACTGGACTTTGACAATGTTTAGTAGGATATATCTGCAAGCTGCATGTTTGCAGCATGTACAAATGATTGATTTATGCACGACGAACTATCTTTGAACCCCAAATATTAACTCAAGCGTCGTCAAAATCTAAGGTTGAACATCACAAATATCTAACCCCGTCCCTTCTCCATTACACAACTCATCACCAGCTCTATTATCTAAGACATGAACGCCTGAGGAGATCTGGTGGCGTGAGTCACATTAGATTGTTGAGTGTAGACCTTAACCGAGTTGACGAGCCAGTAGGCATCCTTGAAAGCAGCAGGGTTGTTGCTAACGTAGTCCTCGCATGTAGACGCAAGGGCAGAGCATTCAGCGTTCTGGTCCCAGACCGAACCAGCCCAGTCGCCGCAGAAGGTATTGGTGAAGATCACATTGTGGCTCTTGAAATAGCTGTCAATGTTGCAGCCGCTACCGCCATTGAACTTAGCACCGGGCAGGTACCAGGTAGAGGGATCAGGGTTTCCGGAGGTGATGTCGGCAGGTATGTTATAGCGGGGGAAGAACCAGATTGAAATATAATCGCTCTTCCATTCCATAGCGTAGATACCGCCTCCAATAGCATTAAAGCCATCACCATAGTTCTCAGTGTTCGCAGTCTGTTGTGAGCAACCAACGAAGCTATCGGATTCTCCACAATCAGTTCCCTTCAAAGTAGTTCTGGGATTCGTGCCCTCGTTGTCGATAGTGTACCCTTGGCTGGTATGTAGAGTGACGGCGGTTGCCTCCTGCGTAGAGACGCCCTCAATAATATCGATCTCACCAGAGTTAGGCCAATCTGCTTGTCTGTCGACATTGTTGGGACACTCTTCCAGGGCATTTACTTCCCTGAGTAGGTGGAAAGGCTCACGTCTAAGTGCTCTCCACCAGTAGGGGAATCCCTTGCACATCTCCGACCAACCCGAGGCCAAGAACACGGGACGAGAGAGTGACAAGTGCCGGCAATAAGCAGGGATTGAGATGGGGTCCGGCAATAGGTAAGTAGTAGGTGAAACGCTCATTCCTGATGAAGGGGGCCAGTTCGCCGATATCAACACCCACAAATAGCAATCTCTGAATCCTCTTAAAAGCCACCTGCCCGTAGCATGGGTGTGGTTGGATTAAAATTGACCGAAGGGACGACTGATAATGCCGTGATACCGCACTAACCGCCTGGCCCCTGACCCCATCGCTTAACCAAGGCTGCTCCAGTCTGGAAACCGTCCCTATTCCCTGTTGATCTACGCTCACTAGCTATAGTCAAGCTTTTCCTTCGCCGGGCTGATGATTGCTCTGAGTCTTCACCTACCTACAATGGGATAGATCAAATTCATTTTAATCAACTGCCAGGCGGGAGTCATAACACCCGGCGCTACATGACAGCCTGCTCGGCACTCTCGCCCCCCACATGCTAGTGGCTTCTTCATGTACTCTTAGAGATAATCCTACGACTCCCTATGTTTTCCCCTATCTTGTTCTAAGGTCGGATGAGGAGCAAACCAGGAACTATTTTATGATCTCCGGCTGATCGGGCAAGACAATGTTGACTGCTGGTTGCATGTAGCACTCAATCCAGCTGCAGAGCACACCAAAGGTCTATTTCAAGCAGAAAAAAAACTCCAGAATCTTCGAAGCCTTAGCTGTCCACTCATCAACCCTTAGCTGCTCATGTGATCCGCTTTGCGCCGCTTCCTACGTTGTGTCCTTTGCTGCTTTCTTCCCCTCCTTAATTTCACCTTGCTGTTTTCCATGATCGGCCTTTGCCGCTTCATTGGCCATGACTTTTGACTTCTCAGGATCACTTGTATTGTATTACTCTTGCTATTTCTCTCTCTATGTCTGCATCTTTGGTTCCCACTTCTATGGGCTGGTACTGGCAATCATTCCCCAACTTGTAGTCTTTCCTCCCGGGATGCTTGAGGGATCTTGCCTCCTACATACTGGTGGTGCCACAACTTTCAAGCTGGTTCTTGGGGTCAGTCTGTTCATCTGAGAAAATTACCTAGTTGTCCATTCCTTAGGAGTGAAAGCCGATCAGTGAACTGTAATTCTCACACTGTCGTTGGAAGGAACAGTGTTTTATGGCATACCCAAAGCGCCATCTCTTGTCTTTAGGCATCTGATCTTAACCCAACACCGAGCCCCGTCATCTAGTCGTTACATACTTTCTCGTAGTCTTGATAGGAGCCTAGGAACTGCTGATGTACTACAAGAAGGGGTGGTGATAGGACTCATGCCCACAAACTACAATTGACTGAACATGTACTTAATACCCTCCCAATGCTCAGCCCCTGACGGCAAAATGTTTTCGGGTGGGATGACAAAACCGCCTTCGGCTGCTGTAGGACGCAGCTCCACTAGCCAGGAGAACTCAGCACCTGCAACATCAAAAGCCCAGTCTGTGCTACTCCCGGCAGTTTGGTAGAGATTTGTGCAAGTCGGGCCAACACTGAATTCAAGCCCGTTCACACCCGCGATCGCAGATGCAACACCGTTGCCCACAGACAGTTGTCTCTCGTAATTATCTGGGTAGGCTGTGCAGTTATATCCATACGGCAAGAGGATTTTCTTTCCGTAGGAGTGCCAGTCTATGTAAGCTTTGATGCCTTGCCCATTGGCTAGATCTAGCATATGGGCCACCAAGGCTTGAATTTCAGGCGTGTCTCTTGGCGCCTCGCCACGGAAGGTGTTGGAGCAAGGATCTGGTGACGAACCCCCCGAAACATTCCAATGGCTGGGCCAGTTTCGGTTCACATCGGTACCGATGCATGTTTGGTTGTTCCTGATTTGGCGGTTCTTGCGCCAGAGCCTCTCCGACTCGTGAGTGTAGACAAACCCTGGAACGCGTTAGCGAGATAAGTAACTATGCAAGGAGAGGGGCAAATACCATCTGGATTGACAATTGGCAAGATATAGAAGTCATAGTTGTCCAGAATGTTGACGATCGCGGAGTCTCCGGCTTGATACTCCTCTATCAATTTATAGGTAATATATTCTACAGTCTATTCATAATGTTAGCGCTCGTCAATAACACTTGTTGGAAGGCCTTCCGAACCGGCGCAGAAATCCACTCTCTGGCATGGGCAGTTCCATGCCAGACAATTGCCGGCTTCAGGCCTTCCCCGGCCTCTCCCCATAGGTGAATTCCCGGAAGTTCACGGCCCTCAACTGATGGGCCGAGGGAGAAGGTATCCGAGTTATTTGGGAACGCGGCTTGAAGGTCTGTGAGAAACTGAATGTGCTCATCATATGGATGGTAGGAGTCAAAGTATGATAAGGGTGGGAGATCAGCGAGCACTCCCTGGGTCTTTTCCGTGGCTATGGATTTTGGCGTTAGATACATGTCAACCGTGGAAATCATTGTGTGGAGCAGCTAACCACTATATGTCAAGAATGGGCCCTCCTTCTTTAATACGGCACCAAGGTCGTTAATCAGAGTAGTGAGCTCGAGTCCAAGCTGGCGGGCGGCCTGTAATTGATCAGGTGGGACGGCGACATCAAAAGCCTCATTATTGGGATCCTTAGATAGAAGAATCGACTTGATATTGGATAGAGACTGCTCAAATTCTTCCGCGTTACCTGGATTTTCAATTCTGAATATTTTGAACCCATCATACGAGATCTTCGCAGTAGCAAGAGAGCAGAGAATGCCTAGAGTTGCTAGAGTCTTCATTATACCAATAAGGCTGAATGGACGAAGTACAACGTAGAAATGGAAGGGTGATGCCGGGTCGATTTCTTTTAGATTGGTAACTCAAGAGAAATATAATATTAGAAAAGAAAAAGAAAGAAAGAAAAACACCCCGGCGTTGATTTACTTTAATTCATAGGAGCTCCGTATTGTTCAGTATTTCTTGGCTGCGGGGCCATATGAGCTCTTATCGTTGAGGAATCACGAATTTAACCTCGCATGACATGCATCTGTTGAAATAACCTTCTTGACTGGTCAAGTTTCTCTGTTATCAAGGATAAATTGTAGCACTCAAAGAGGGGCAACCCGTAAGTTTCTTCAATGCTACCTAGCTAGATGGCACCTACCATCTTGAGGACGTTCTATACGGCAGCCTTTAGAGTTACGGGAAGCTAGGGTAATGTCACCGATGGGTTAAAATTCCAAGAGGACCCAATGACGGAGCTCCGAGCGGGTAAAGTACCTCAACCGCTGATAGACCAGGCGACCCAGTAAACCCCTTTGCCTTGTCGAAACCCACTTCCTCCCCAATTTTAAATAGCGCACGATGGACGTTGCCGTCCGAATTGCTCGCTGTTTGACGTTGGCCTCATCCGGGCTGTATCACACACTCTCCTGAAGTGCGAATCTTGACCTCGGCCGACTTTTGGCTTCCTTCATTTGATGACAACACACCCAAGGCAAAATGGAGAATGAACTCGACGAGTTGGTAGTTCCTAGCGGGTGGGATCCGTACCAATATACATGAGAGTTGTTACCCTTGAATTGCGAGGGTAGGTGACGTGGTTAGCCGGATATCGACATCAGACCCTTCAATCACACGATGATAAGGTATTTCATATCTGTCTTTCAACCGAACATAGACCAGCTTCATGGCCACGGGAAATTAAGGAAGGAAGCGTTGAATATTCTGATGACTCTCACGATGATGAGTCAAACGACGACCTACGAAAGGCCATTGCTGAATGTGAGACGCGACCGGAGTATCTCTATTGAGCTCATTTGGGGAGACATTGCTGGGGCGCTCAAACTACGAGGCATTGTGAGAAAAATCCGGTTCAACCCTGGGTTTCCTACAATCATCTTTGTTCAAGGGTTCAGCATTTCCATTAATGGGAGCGAAATAAAAATCAGAACGGAGTTGTTTGCTGAGATGAGCGGGAACGCTAGGCTGCCGACCGTTAGAAACAACATCCACAACAAGACTTGGAAAACGATCCTCTGAGACAAGCTGGAACGTCATATCGCAGCGAATGGTCGTTTTGATAGGACCGACGCCCTGGTCGGTGTGGATCCATTGACTATAGTCCGTCCTGGATAGTCCAACCTGAATCCGATATCGAGGAGGGAGATCAGGCCAAAGGGGGTCACATGACGGAAAGATATGTCATTGCCCGTTTTCGGAAATCTCGGGGTTCCATCGTGCCCTAGTGACAGTCAAGCACACGACATACCTTTGAACACTGAACGTATCCGCTGAAAGAGAGGATGGCTTTAGTCCTGGATCCTTGCTGAACAATTTCCAAGACTTTATTCTTGTCCAGACATTCACCACCAGAATGCCGAGATCCTGTATGTTCGAGTGCGATCGTGCGATCGCCAAGGGCTCTGGCACACTGTGTATCGACATAAGCTTGGCGCATTCCTTCGACTTTATTCTAGGTATCTTGATACAGTTAGACTCCCAAATTGGAACTGTATGCGGGGTAACACAGAGTCTATGATGCATCACTCCGGACTAGTTGCTCCGGCTAGCTGTGTGTACCGTCTTTTTGAAACCTGTCTGGCTCGATCAAATCGATTTCTGCCTCCAATCCGGTCATGGCGGACATGGATAACTGAATACGCGCACATACCTTGACGATCCCC